AGCTCCAAACTGTAGACAGAGGCAGAAAAGACAGGACTCCTTTCGTCTGACTCTCTGTTTCATGACTTAAGAATTTGTTTACATTCAAACAAAAATGGAGCCCTGCAGGCCCCTAGGCCGTCTGGTTCCTGGGCCCCTCCAGGCTGGGAGGAATCTCAGAGATAGAAGCAATCCCTGGGGGGATGCTCAAGTGTACACACACTGTTGAGATTAGCTCCAAACTGTAGACAGAGGCAGAAAAGACAGGACTCCTTTCGTCTGACTCTCGGTGGCGCCCTGGAGCCCAAATCCCTTCAGCCTCTTCTCTTACTCTTTCCCATAAGGAGGTAACTGTCTCCTGAGGTTTGGGGGGCAGTTGTGGCTTTTTCCTCTGCATCAGAAGTTCTGGGAGGATGCCTTAGATGGCGACATGGTTGGGTCTTGTCTGAGGACTCCGCACATGGCCCATCCAGCAGGTTGATTTAACTTTATTCTCCTTGAAGTTCTTAAGTAAGGTCACATTGTACCTGTTCTTTGCTTGGCCAGATCTGCACGCAGCTTTCAGCCAAATTCTTCACTCCACTTTCTCTAGGGTTCTGGTTCCTAAGACAATGACTCAACACATTCTGACCAAGAGAGGAGAATCAACATGATGTCTGGGATTTAGTTACACTTCGGGGTCTTTCTTGGAGGGTAGCCTTGTCAGAGCCCCACATGTCCAAAAGGCTCCCCAGACAGAGGCATCACATGGTCCCCCCATGAGATGCCTTCAGAGTTCTCCTTTACTCTAGTCTGGAGCTGGAGGAAGGACTGGCTGCGGCTTTCACACTGTCATGGCGCCATGGCCATGAGAGGGTTTGGCTGCCTGGCATTTACTCCTTTTTCTTTGGCTGGCAGCCCAATTGCTGGAATTCCTGCTGTGCCCTGCCTGCGGCCTGGAGGGACTGCCTGCCTAGGGGCCTTGTCCTGGCTAAGGGGGTGGCTAGGGATCCAGGCGAGGCTAACCCACCACTCCCGCTTGCACAGAATGTTGGAGCTCTCTCATTCATTCACTCCTGTGAGGTCTTGCAGCATGGGCCAATGAAAAGATGCTTGAGCCCTCCACTGCCTAGGTTCAAATCCTGCCTCAGCCACTTGCTAGGTGTGTGTGGTGCACTGCATTTCTGTTCACAAATATTTGGTGAACCTCCTTGCGAGAAGATGATGCATCTCTGCCCCCTGAACTCTGGCGTGGCTGTATGACCTGCCCTGGAGACTCCTCTAAGCTAGGAGGTAAAAAGTCCTACCTAAGGTCACACAGCCTGTAAGTGGTGGAACTGGGATTTGAACCTTTCCACTTATACTGCGCTGGCTCCTAGTCCCAGCCTTTCTTACCAGACCCCCAACCTTCCCATCAGGGATCTAAGAACTGTGTCTTTTGCTCACTTCCAAGCCCCACCCAGGTGTCCCACTCTGGCAAAACAAATCCCAGAGGCATCTGTGTGCTCAACATGATGGGCCCACGGGCAGCGGTGCATGGGCAGCAGTGTTGACAGTGGGGTGGAAGAATCGATGGCTCTGCCACTGCCTTGGCCTTGGCCACAGCTGCTCATGGCCACAGCCCTTTCCCAGAACAAGGACAGGTCCCAGGACAATGCAGAGAGTAAGCATCATAATATTAACAGATAACATCACACTCAGCTCCTGACGAGGCTCCTCCCGTTCAGTGCTCATAATAAATGCATGAGGGCAGCACTATGATCATGGTCCTGTGTTACAGAGGAGGATACGGAGGCGCTGGGAGGTGGAGCAACTGGCCAAGACTGCCCAGCTGGTCAGCCACGGCCACGCCCGCGTCGCCTCCTGCTCCCCATTGTCCTTGCAGCTGACCTTTTTGCATTGTTTTTTCTGTCTCTTCTCTGGTTCACAAAGAAATGGGGAACAGGGAGGCTGTAATTAGGACAACCCTCACCCAGAGAGGGACAGCAGACCTTCTCCCCAGCCCGGATGGCACCTTGGGGCTGGATGCTCCTTCCTAGCCCCAGATAATCCCTGGAGTATAAACAGAGTATAACTTGCCCAGCAGGGGGGCTGGGCAAAGTTGACAAACGGAAGCGCCCCCAGGGATCAACCAGCTAGGAGCAGCGACCTGCCAGGAGCTTGAAAACAGGCACCGTAACTACATGCCTGTTTTATGGCAGGTGGCCTGTCCTCCTCCCCCACTGCCACTCGAGTCCCTCAGCCCCTACCCCAGGCTGGCTCAGCACCAGGTCAGAGTAAGGTGAGTTGCTTTTAAAATGGGCCTCACTTTCTTGGCCTGCCTCCCATTGAGTCACTGGGTCAACATCCCTTCCCTTTGAATCTGGGGCTTATGACACTTCCCCCAGTAGAGTGCAGTGGAAATGGTGCCACGTGACTGCTGAGGCCAGGTCAGGAAAGGCCATGCTGCTTCCTCCCGGTCTTCTTGGGCTGCTCGTTCGGGGAGGCCAGCTGCCATATAAGTCCGTCAGCCCTGAGGTCACCATGCTGGAGGGGCCACATGTGGTGCCTGACCCACATCCCAGCTGAGCTCCTGGTTGCCAGCCAGCAGCAGCTGCCAGACCCAAGGGAGGGCCAGCCTGTACATCCAGCCCCGAGGGAGGGCCAGCTTGGACGTCCAGCCCAGTCAATCTGTCCTCAGCCAAACGAGAGGCCCCTACCAGTGAGAACTGCCCAGCTGAGCCCTTCCCAAATGCCTGCCCCTCAAAATCAAGGGCAAAATAAAATGGTGGTTGTTTGAGACCATTAAGTTTCATTGAGTAATCTGTTACACAGCATAGTAACTGCAACAGCTGCTGAATGAGCAATGAGTAAATGAATTCAGAGCGTATCTCAGCAAGGAAACCCACATACCAGACTCCTCCGGCCTGATGGAGGCCAGCTCAGGACAGGCCAGGCCTTGGGCAGAGGCAGGGGCAGTGGGGCAGCTCCAGGCAGCATTAGCAGGTGCTGGGTACAGGGCACAGAGAGAGGATGAAGGCAAGCCTTCTCTGCCTTCAAAGATCTCACAGGCCCATCAGAACCCCCCCAGCAAAGGCCCAAGCTGTAGTTTCCAAGTTAAAACCATGCTCCTTGACATACAAACAAGCTGCTTCAGACCCCCGTCCACCCTTTGCTCTGTCCCCTGCAACATTCCTATGCTCCCCTGTCCCGTCACCCCCTTGGCCCGCTTCACACCTCCTCTCCTTGAATTTGCAGCTCAGGTGCCACCCCCTCAGGGAAGCCCTCCTTGATACCCTGACCAGGTTTCTGTAACCATCTCTCATAGAATATAGGCTTTTCTTGGAAGTGGACTTCTCATCTGTTGCTGCTCCCACTGGTGGGACAAACTGATTAATGTCCATCATCTCCACCAGACTCAGCCTCCCTGAGGACAGGGGCTGTGTCCGAGTTTGTTCGTTACTGGATCCTCATACCTAGCCTGGTGTCCGGCACATAGCAGGTGCTCAATAAACATCTGTCTGCACTCACCCTTCAAGATTCCACTCACAAGAGGAACCTGCTGGAGGCAGATGCAGGCCTCCCCTCCGGCCCTGTCTGTCTGGGATCCAGCCACCTCCCCAACTGTCTGGACAGGAGCAGGTGGCATTTGCTTGAATCCAGCACTCTGATTTCATCAGGCTGGGGTGGAGATCTCATCTGTGCTTTTAAAGCTCCCAGTGACTCTAATTTGCAGCCAGGGATGAGATCACAGGCCTAGCACAGCTCTGAGAGGTCCCCTCACTCTTTCTAGCCGGCCTCCTGACATCTGGGGAACAGAGCAGCATGGGCCGCAAGACTGGAGTCGGGCCAGGAGACCAGCCATGCTCCAGGTCAGGTTTTCCTGAAGACCAAAGGCCTGGGGCACTGGGGTACATGGCAGTGACATGAAAAGGTATACCTACTAAGCCCAACTTCTCTGTAGCTAAAAGCCTGTAGTCTGGGAAGCAAGAGACCTACCTCCCTCTGTTCCAGGTGTAGGAAAAAACAGAAGTCCACAGAGCTAACAAGACCTAGTGGCAGGATGTGGTAAGAATGCTGCACCCCAACTGGATGCCCTTCACACATGTAATCCTTGCTGCTCCGTAAGCCTTTGCATGGGGTAGGCAATATGGCTATTCATTTTGCAGATGAGGAAACTGAGGCCCAGGGAGGTTAACTAACTTGCCTAAAGCCACACAGCTGTGATAGATGAGCTGGTATTAAAATTCAGCATGGCTGGGGCAGGCTGGGAGCAGGGGTGGTGGCATCGGCCCCATGCTACTGGGCATCATAATCACAGACTTGCAGGAACCTACACCTTGTAGGATTCTTTCCTGCTATGGTTATGGTCTCTGCCCTCTCCCTGCACCTTCCCTGCCCCACACTCAGCTCCTCCAAGCCCAGCTCTCTCTCTCTGTGTGTGTGTGTGTGTGTGTGTGGTCTCTGCCCTCTCCCTGCACCTTCCCTGCCCCACACTCAGCTCCTCCAAGCCCAGCTCTCTGTGTGTGTGTGTGTGTGTGTGTGTGTATGTGTGTGTTTGAAACTCCTCTGGCCTGGTTCTGAGTTCCCACAGGATCTGGTGTGCTGGAAGTCCCATTTTTCAGCCCTAGGACAACCTCAGAGAGCGTGTCACCGCCAAGCCAAGGAAGAGACTTTCTCCTGGCCTTTCCCGAAAAGACAGGAGGATTCTGGCCACTCAAGAAGTACCGCAACCTGTTGTCACCTCACTGTCCCAACTTCAGGGCTTCCCTACTCCCCTCATAAGCTGCAGTGCCAGAGGCGTCAGGAGACTTCATTCAAATCGTTCTGACACTTTCTACCTGGGTGACCTTGGGGAATTAGTCTTTTTGAGTCTCAGTTTCCACAAAATGAGGACAAAAGCAGCACCTATTTCTTAGGGTTGTTAAGAATTAAATAAGCTACTGAACGGGAATGTGTTGAGTCCCTAAAGCTCCATAAATGCCTGTCAAATCTGATTAGGATGACAATTGCCTTTGTTTTTACAGTAAAGAAACCCTATAAGACAAATCAGGAAATGCAACTTTTTTTTTGAAAAACAAAAAACATTTATTTCTGTAAACTGTTTTGAGTGCAGAGATGTCCTTCACGACCTCAATACAGTACAGATTTCTTTCCCAAATGAAATGAGCAAGGAAAAAAAGAAAAAGAACTATATAAAACGTGCTCATGAAAAACCAAGCCAATCTCATCTTTCTTTAAAAACGAAACAATCCTTTTAACTTGTGGTGCAGACCTAGGATGAAAGCCACAGACTTTCTGGTCGCCGTGAATGCTGGGGCTGCAGCTCCACACAGCAAAAGTGGTGAGCAGGCCCCAGGCCCATGCTGTCCCCGTGCTGTCCCCGCTGTTTGCACAGGACCTTTCTGCAAGTCAGGAATCAGTTCCTAGTTCTACTTAAATTCCCATCCCCCACCCTGAGCCTCTCTCCCTAATGTCCCTGTCACTTTGGGAGTTCTTGAAGTTAACCCTGAATTGTTTCTCTTGCCAAACCTGGACTCAGACCTTTGCCTCTTCTTCATGCCACAAGATTTCAATCAAAAGGGGAGGAATAGGTGGCTTCAGACCATGTGGCAAAGCCACTGCCAGGTAAGTTTTAAGGCAAATTTTCTCTCTTCTTATTCAGTCCGAGCCAGACCCAAACTTTTCACCCCTGAGCAATACTGTCTGTGTTGGACATGTAGCTTAGGCAACTTTGAATGGGGGTGGGGTTAGGGACCCTGCAGCAAGTTCTGGGAGGTCCAAGACTGACGATGGGATCAGTGTGTATGCTTATGAAGGCTGCAGCCGGTGGGTGCAGCTCCTGGCCCGGCTGCCCCCTTAGCGGTCAACAGGAGGGCACACCAAAGAAACCAAGATGGTAGAACAGGCCCCAGCTCCAGGAGCAGCGCGAGGTCACAGTGGATCAGACCAGGCGGAAATGCCAGGGAAAGGGGTCACCACAGGAGGCACCTCAGATCTGATGACATGCATGACCTTGGCATCAAAAGGACTTTTCTTTAGAACAAAAAAGGGGGAAAAAAGAAAAAGGAGATCAAAGAAAGATGTTCCATGAGCTTCATGAGAAAGGACATGGCAGGGTTCATGAGGGAAGCAGGAAAGGGGATGTGGGGTGTGGACACGGGGTGGTGGGCGTTGCCTCTCATTGATTCTCCTCTCCCTGGTGGGCTGGTGGATTGTAGCGGAGGCCGGTGGTCCCCTCCCTTGGGGAGCAGGCAGATGACTTTGGCAAGGGGCAGGGGAGGGCTGGGTTACTCCGTCTGGGCATCATAATTGGCTCCCCCTGCCTTCTTTAGCTCGCTCTTGATGAAATCTTCCTCCAGCTCCTTCCGATCGCTGATGACAAACTCTTTAGCGAAATTCTGCAAGAGCAAATGAAAATACACAGAGTTCCTGTTAAAAAGGAACAGGATCTAAGTGATGCTCAGGCAACACACTGGGAAGCCTTGGCACCTACCTAAAACGTTAACAAATGATCAAAATGAAAATTTGGCAGCAGAGTTGTTTTGAAGAAAAGACATGACTAGAGATCAGACAGTGGGTAAACTTGGCTATGCCAAGTAAACTTTACTATGCTGTCCCACGACACAGAGATGGGCCAAGGTCAGACCTGGGTTTGAATTCTGGCTCTGTCATTTTCTGGCTGTGTTACCTTGGGCAGGTCCTTTCAACTCTCTGTGCCTCCACTTCGTCATCTGTAAAAAACCATCTTGTTGAAAGAATAACAGGAGGTGAGGTTGGAAAGGTAGGCAGATGGGCTGGTAAATGTTTAACACCAGGCTCTCTGATAAAAAAGAAAATAAGGGGAAAAGCTCTGATTTGTAGCTTTTGCCCATTTCCACGGTGTATATATTCCCACAATGGTTGATTTCAAGCTACCAACATGATGTCCCCATACATGGCATGAGGAAGAGACAGCCATAGTTGGCTCTCAGAAGCTGGTATGAGCTAGCCTCAGCCACCACTGGTCCTAATGACACAGGAGCTTCTGGTCCTGGGTCTGAGTGATCAGCCTGGGCATCGACTGGAATTTCCAGCCATACTCAGTCACTGGATGGTAAGGGCTATGTTCGCATTCATTCAATAAACACCATGCCAGGTTAAAAAGGGCTACAAGGATGAGAAAACGAATGCAGTAGCTGTCTCCTCTTGGGGCACAGAGATTTTGTCCATAACCCACAGGTGTGACACACATGCGATGCTCAGTAAATGTCTGTGGCATGAATAAGTGAAGGAGGTGATCTGGCTTATCAGATAACCCTGAGCCACAGAGATAAACAGTTACTTTAATATGTGGATCATAAGACTTCAATAAACAAAGACAATTTCAGGATGGTTACAGACAGGAGGAATACAGAAAAAGCTACCCAAAATACAAATAACAAGTCCAAAGATCAGAAAGTCCTCCACATAAAGAAAGTCCATAAGGAAATGGCATTAACAATTACCACCATTAGTAAGCACTTCTGTGGCACTGAGATTAATACACATTAGTAAAGGTAATTCTCAAAACCCTTTAATATGACTCAGCAATTCCACTCCTACAGCACTACCCAAGAGAAATGAAAATGTATGTCCACACAAACACTTGTACACAAACATTCATAGCAGCATGATTCATAATAGCCAAAAAGTGGAAACAACCTAAATGTCCATCAACAGATGAGTAGATAAGTAAAATATGATCCTTTCTCGGCCATGCCGCCCTGATACATACAACTAGCCCAGTGACGACCATCAAGCTGCCGCAGGAAGTGCCCCGGGTTCTTGAGCTGGGGTGGTGGGGGACAAGGGCTTTTGCCACACCTCCTTGACATCTGCACCCAGCCGGGCAATGACCGAGCCACTGCTGGAAGCCCCCTGGTCTCCCCTGTGGGAATGAGGGAGGTGCCACAGCCTCAATCCCACCTCTCCTCCTTCCTCCTTCTTCTGTCCCATTTCCTTCCCCTTTCTCCTCTCCCCCTCCCTCCCAAGTGCTCCGCAACAACTTCGTAGAATGTAAAAGAATAATAATATTCATTAAAAATATATATACGGTCCATCCATACCATACAATATTATTCAGACATAGAAAGGAATGAAATACTGATTCATGCTACAACATGAAACATGCTGCTGAGCAAAAGATCTGAGACAAGGAAGGCCACATACTGTATGATTCAATTTATATGAAATGTCCAAAAAAGGCAAATCTATAAGATCTATAAGACAGAAAGTAGATTAGTGGTTACCAGGGGTTGCAGATGGGAACAGGAAATGATAGAAAAGTTCTAAAAGTGGATTGTGGTGATGATTGCACAAGTCTGCAAATTTACTAAAAATCACTGAATCATACACTCAGGATGAACTAATTTTGTGGGATATAAATTATACTTCAATAAAGCTGTTTTTTAAAAATCCTGTAAGATGATTGATATTATTTCCATTTTAAAGATGAGAAAACAAATTCTGAGGATTACAGTACCTGCCCAATGTCACACAGCTAGAAAGTCCAGTTGTATCCAAAGAGTAAAGAGTCATTGTCTCCCTCTGGGGTGATGAAAATGTTTTCAAACTAGAGACAGGTGGTGTTTGCACAACATTGTGACCATACTAAACTCCAATGAATTGTACATTTTGAAATGGTTAATTTTATGTTAAGTGAATTTCATCACAATTGAGAAACAAAACAATACTAAACAAAGTGTCCTGTATATGACCAAGAGGAATGACTAAACCAGGAGAACCCTCGGGTCAATTTTACAGTATAGACAAGCCATTTGCCATGCTAAGTCAGTAAGAACACTAACAGGGAGGAAGACGAGGATGGTTAATATTTACCAAGCAGCTGACATGTGCCAGGCACAGCCTCACGCATTTTCTCATTTAATCCTCCCTTGTATGTTAGCCTTTTTTTTTTTTCTAACAGATAAGACCCATGGGCTGGGCTTGGAGGGACTTGCTCAGAATAACAAAACATCCTTTCGACCCTTTCTATTCCCATCTCACCATACTGTGCTGCTAGGCATATATGCATGTGATGAGTACAATAAGAAAACACAAGTTGGATCTAAGAGCCAGAAAAGAGAATTGAGAATTGACGTGTTTCTCAACCTGAGCCCAGTGGCATGGGGGAGGGGCAGAGAACACTGGGGAGGAGGAAGCTAACAGCCCAAGATGCCTATATAAGGAAGTCCAAAGTTCTGCTCTGTGATAGCTATATATGGCAATCTAAAGAAATATGAACACTTAATGTTTGTGTCAGTTAGGTATTAGCTTTAGATTAAGAAGAAATAAGCTTGATAAGGCCTAAGAAATCTAAAGTGAAATGTACACGAGGCTGTGCAGAATCCAATCTAAAACTACAAGTATATAAGAAATCAAATTATAACCAAAGTAAGCAAAACAAAATTGTAGAATCTAGTAAAACATGACATAACAATAAATGTAAATGAACAAAATTACCTTTAGAAACGTTATGTCTCAAATTACAAAATGAAAAAAAGCAACCTCAAACCCTTTGGTACATACCAGAGACATGTTTAAAACCAAAAGATGAAGAAAAAAAAAAGAGTCCAAGTTACATCAAAATATATATATAAAAAAGCAACCATATGATCTCTGAAAATGTTTAAAGCAAACCGCATCTAACAAGATAAACAGGGTCACCACAACACTTTTGGATCAGCTGAATATCCTTTCCTCTCTGCCTCAGTAGAAAATAGGATGGAAGATTTTTCTACCCATTGGACACATGCTTTTACTGTCACTACTTAGAGAGGTCTTAAAAGACAAGCAGTCCAGCAATCCGATTACTGCCAAAAAAGAGAAGAAGGGTTACAGTCAAGTGTCTTAACCCATTAAACTGGCTTACACCTACAAGTTCTGCATTGTCCTAGTGTTTCATTTCCATTTTTCCTCAGGAAAACACCAGAGTTAGCTTGTG